ATATTATAATATGTAATTAATATTATAAATTATATATAATTATTATATAATTATTATATAATAATAATATAACAAAAATATAATAAGTATAATATATATAATTAAATATCAAATATAATATATATAATATAAATAATATAACAAAAATAATATATATATATATTATTGAATATTATATGTAATATTTTATGTAATATTATGTATATTATTGAATATTATTATTATAATTATTAATATGCATAAAGAAATTTGAATTCAGAGTTTTAACCAACTATTTTTCTTCTCTTTCTCTCTGTCAAACCCAAATCAAGAGATAACATTATTTTTTTTTTCTATTTTTCTTTTTTTTATCAAATACTTCATTATATCCTGACAAATGATACGATATATTATCACGAGATGATACCAAAAGCAAAAAAGAAAATATATTTAATAATGTTTACATTATAATTTTGTCTTTGATTGTAAAATTAACACAACAACGTTTCCAGAAATGAAAAAAAAAAAAAAATATATATAAATATATATATTTAAAAATATATATATATATATGTGTAAAGAATAAAAAGAAAAAAAAAGAGAAAGAGTTATGATCATAGTTCAAGTTTATCGTGAAGTATTTTTAATTGTAATCATTCGCAGACGTCAGAAATTTTTTCTTCGTTAAATACGAAAAAATATTATTTTTTCTTCGAATAAAATGATGAAAAGCTTTAAGGAAGTATATATACACCACGGATGCGTCACGGTTATGATTTTGTTTCTTTTTGTTTTTTTGTTTTTTATTTGTCTATTAGATTTATACGATAAAAATTAAATAACAAATTTTCTAAAACTTGATTGAAGATTTTACAAATAATATTATCATTTTTTCTTTTTTAATATTCATCAACACTTATTATTTAATGTTAACATTAAATGATATATATATATATATACGACGAGTTATATCATTTTATAAAAATTTATTATGATCTTTTTTATTATAAAAAAAGAAAAAACAGAAAAGAATTTTTTCGCAAATAAATAACTTGTTCTCCTAGATATGATTTACAGAAAATAAATAACTATATCTCCTAGATATGTTGTTTACAGAAGACAAGAGTTCGTAAACGAAGTGATATGGATAAAGAAGATACAATTGACATATCACTTTAGGGTCGCGGTATAAGTCAACAGCGATTATCACCTAATCATAAAAGAAAGCAATTTTTAAATCTTACATTACCATATGAGAAATTTATAAAGAAATAACGATCTTTTTTCTTTGCATAGCAATCGTTAATTATTTAAAAAAGAATTTAAAAAATCTTGTTTCTATCTCGTTCTATTTATAATACACGAAAATAACTTTAATCAAATTTTTAAATTAATTTTAAATGAGGGGGAAGTTGGAAAGAAAAAAAGAAACAAAAAAAAATTCTTCTAGAATATAAAATATGATACATTATATATATAAATAATTATTTCAATAATTAATATAATAATTATTAAACATTAATATATATTTTATTAATATTATAATATAATATAAAAATATAAAATTCCTATAGAATATAATATAATATATTACATATAAATAATTATCTTAATAATTATTAAATGTTAATATATATTTTATTAATATTATAATATAATATAAAAATATAAAATTCTTATAGAATATAATATAATATATTATTTATTAAAACATTTGTAAAATATCTCACTTTACTATCTTATTTTCAAAAGAAACATAATTTTATGTTTAAAACAAACGAACCTTATCAACCATTACGTTTCCATCAACCATTTCTTTAATGAAACAACAAATCACGCGTATATTTGTATTTTATCAAAGTTGTCCTTAAGTTTATCGCAGAAAAAAAATAAAAATAAATTATTATGCGGAATATTCACATGCATATAAAAACAAAAAAAAAAATCAAAGAGGTGAATCGATATTGATTGTTTATAAATTTTCATTTCTTGCTTTCTTTGTTTTTTTTTCTTCTTTTATTTTTAATCAATAAACTTTGCTATTTATCTTAACCAATGAACGAGAAAATTCTTATTCTACTGTGTATTGAACAGTTGGTAAGATCTTTCAATGATCACCCCCCGATCCTATAAAACAATTAAAATAAAATTATCAATTCGCACATATGGTCGGATAATGGAAAACAAAAGGAAAATAAGAAAAAAAACAACGTTGACTTTTAAAGCTGAGAAAGTAACGGGAAACAATTCCCCTTTACAACTCGTTGAGAAGTAAATTTATGACTCCTATCTATATATATATGTGTGTCATCAGTTTACTACGCTAGTGTTTCTCCTATGCAATTTAAAATTAGTACAATGACCCTCTCTCTATCAACATAAACATTTCCACATGATTTCAATCGTAAACAAACAAAACAAACCCACTACGTTTTTATTTTATTTATTTATTTATTTTTTTTTAAATTATATTATAAGTTTTTTTTATACTATTTGTATATTATATATTATAATAAATATTTTAATATTCTTTTTATGATATAAATCTAACTGAATGATATTAAAATGGCATCAAAATTTCATTTGTTTCAGAAAAATGCAATCTCGGTTGTCACGGTGGTGAGTTTATATTAAAATTATACTTTTTTTAATATATTTAAAAGTTAAGACCAGAAAAGTAGTGTCATTAATATAAATGTCAACATATTTTGTTTATACAATTATCAGCTCTAATCTTGTGTACTTCAACAGCCATGTTTGAATTAACCTCTTCGAGGAGATTTTTTGGCGGGACAAAAATGATTTAACGTTTTTTTCTTTTTCTCTAACTGTACATTGGAAATAAAAGTTATCAAATTTTTGTTAAATTTATTATTAACATTAACTATAATTATAAAAAATGAAACTTCCACATATGTGACCAAAAGTCGTGAAGAGATTAATGTTAAAAAACAAATGACATTACTTTCCGGTCCCCTTTAATATTACCCATCTGGAATACATAAAAAACGTATTATTAATAATTATTATTAATAAATAATTATAGGACAATATCCAAAAGCATATCAAGAAGGACATACCTATATATATCGTCTTGAAGGAACATCTGTAACATCTGTCACCGATGCAAAAGGCGACAGTTCTCTCAATTTGAAAGCCATCGTTGAAGTTACTGCTAAACCTGATTGTGTTTTACAATTAAAACTTAAAGACGTTCTTTTGAATGATGCTGTAAGAATCTTTTAAAATTTTAATACTATAAAATAATATTTAAACAACAAATTTTACAATCATAAATTATTATTCGTTTTTATACTCACATTTTGAAATGAGAAATGAAAATTAAAAAAGTGTTAAAATATATAATTTCAGGCAGCATCTTTGCCAGATCTTCAAAAGCACGCCATTCAGTTCAATTACCATCATGGTCACATTGATTCTGATATTTGTGCTGAACCAGATGATTCACAAACATCATTGAACATCAAGAGAGCCGTAGTATCTTTGTTCCAATCAGCTATTCAACTTGAATCCGGTTCAAGTGTTCATCATGAGGTAACGTACATATTTAACAAATTATTTATCATTTTATTTACAAATATTTTAATAAGAAAAATGTTCCTTTTAACAAACCTTAATAATTCGATTTAACGAGACTCGTTAATTCAAAGATAAAACAAAATTACTGATCATTATTATGGTGCATGTATTGCAGCACATGGATAGGACGTAGATATAAATTATTAACTTATTTAATTTATTTTGATGATCGTGAATTGCATTACATTTTGATAATAATTCATCCTACTAAATGACCATATAATATAATAACAACGTTTGATTAATCGAATTAAAAAAAGGGATAGGTAGGGTCCTATTAGATGTATGCATGTATGCGTAGAGTTAAAGAAAAAATAATAAATCGTAAAAATTATACCTATATATATACCTAGAAATTAACATAAAAATATTGGATAATTGATTTTCAAAACTAATCAGTAAATTAATTTTAAAATTATAACGAAATTAAATAAACACGTTTAAGGTTAGGCTTTCAATTCGCGGCCATATTGAAAAAACAAAGCAAATTTGTAAAATCCCTAACCAATTAAAAAAATTTCCAAATATCACCCAACATTTATTTTCAAATTCTACGTTCTAATTTATTCGTTATTTATTATTTTCCATTTAGACCGATATATTTGGCAGTTGTCCCACTGACTTCACTTTCCAAAGAGAAGGTGATTCATTGCTCGTACAAAAACACAAAGATCTTTCGCAATGTTCATATCGCGAAAATATTAGACAAGGATTGATAACGTCAGTATTCGACAAATCGGCTGGCATCAAATCAACGCCATTGTTAGCATCTCAACAAAAAATTGAACAACGTTTTAAACAGGGTATCTTAAACAAAGCATCGTCCACAGAAACGTACAAATTCCAACCATTTAGTAACGGTAATGCTGGAGCAAAAACTGTAGTTGAGACAACTTTAACATTTAAAGGAGAGAAAGGTGACAATCCATCAGCACCAGTATCCATTCCTAAGTCAATAATTTTCGAAGCACCACATCCGGTAGTTAAATCGTCAGTAGATGCAATTAGCAATGCTTTGAAAGCCGTATCGGAGGAAAAGGGTGAAGTTGTTAGTGAAAAGGCAGCCGAGAAATTTGCCAAACTTGTCAAAGTACTTCGTGTGAGCAACAAGAAGGACATACTTACGGTATATCAAAAGGTTAATGCTGGTGGTGCAGGCTTTAACAAAGTTACCGATAAGAAAATATTGTTGGATGCATTATTCCGTACCGGTAGTGGGGAGGCAGCAGAAGTGGCCGTGGAACTTGTAAAAACTCATCAATTAACTAATGTGCAAAACTTTGTCTTCTATACCAGTCTCCCGTTGATAAGACACGTCAATCTTCCAGCAATAACAGCTGTAACGTCACTTTTGAATCAACCCAATTTACCACGAATTGGTTATCTTGGTATTGGACATACGATTGGCAAATATTGTCAAGAACATTCATGTGAAAATGTTTCTGTAGTAAAAGACGCTATACACAAGATTCGTGAGAAAGTAGGAAATGGTAGGACCAAAAATAGAGCTCAAGAGAATCAAATAATTTCTAACTTAAAGGCACTAGGAAATTCAAAATACATGGATGATGCTACCTTACAAAAATTATCAAACATCGTTGCTGACAAACAAGTGCGTAATCGTGTACGTGTTGCAGCTATTGAAGCATTGTCAAATACTTGCTCAATGAAATGGAAGAGTCAAGTTATGAATGTATTGAGTGATCATGATGAAGACAGTGAGATTAGAATAAAGATATATTTAGCTTTGGTCAATTGCGCATGTCCACAGGTTGCTACCAAAATAGAAGAAATATTAAACAAGGAAACGGTCAATCAAGTTGGATCATTCATAACCAGTCATCTTCGTAATTTAAGAGCATCGACTGATCCTAACAAGGAAGCTGCTAAAAAATTATTGGGTCATATCAAACCACGCATCAAATTCCCAGAAGATTTTCGTAAATTCTCTTTCAACAATGAAGTATCTTATAATATGGACGCGTTAGGTATCGGTTCCTCAGCTGAAAGTAACGTAATTTACAGTCAAAATAGTTATATACCACGTTCAACTAGTTTGAATCTAACCGCTGAAGTATTTGGACAATCCTTCAATTTCCTCGAACTCGATACGCGCGTAGAAAATCTTGACAGAATTATAGAACATTACTTTGGACCTAAAGGTGAATTCAGCGAAGAATCCCTCGATTTGAAGACAGCCAAGGAAACTGTTGAAGAGGTTGACGAAATAAAAAAATACGTCTATCAACGTTTTGAAAAATTGAAACGTAATAAGCGTGAAGTTAAACAAGGAGAATTAGACAAATTTGCAAAAAATGTACAATTACGTAATACCGAAGTAGATGAAGATCTTAACGTTGACTTGTCCGTGAAATTATTTGGCGTAGAACTCGCATACTTGAGTTATCAGGACAATCCACAAACATTGACAACGAAGAATTTAATCGACAAGATTTTTGAAAATTTCGAAACAGGATTTGATCTTGTTAAAGACTTCGATTATAACTTCCAAAATCATCTTCAGTTCTTAGACGCTGAACTGATCTATCCAACTGGTTTAGGTATACCATTGTCATTGGGTGTAACAGGAACAAGTGTTGTTAACATGAAAGCTAAAGGAAAATTAGATATGGCAACTATTTTGCATGACCCAGATAACGCGGCTGTAAGAATTTCTCTGGAACCAAGTGCATCAATCAGAATCACCGGTAGCATGATGCTCGAGGCATTAGACAGAAATTCTGGTGTGGTTATTGCTGCTACCCTAGTTACCGATACAGCTTCTGACGTGTCCATCAAAGTGATCGACGGTACTGGGTTTGAGGTTAGCTTTGGTGTCCCTAAGAAGAACCAACAGCTAATATCCGTATCTAGCGATGTATTATTTACGTCTGGACCAAAGGGTGAAAATCTGAAATCCCTTGAATTTGACAAAGGCAAAGAATATGAAGATTGTTTCGAACAATTATCAACTATTTTGGGTTTGACCGTATGTGGAAGTATTCAGCTCCCATACAACGATCTTGAATCGATTAAAACTAAACCATTCTTCCCGTTAAGTGGACCAACTAAATTTTCCATTAACATTAAAAGCGATGATGTTAAAAATTATTATTTTAAACTTTATTACAACACAAAGGTACCTAATGCACGTGCATTGGAAATTTTGTTCGATACACCCAACAGTAAAGTGAGCAGACGTCTTTCTTTGTTGGTAGAAGGTAGTCTAGAACCGGAAAAATATTTCAAGGTAGATCTCTATTCACCTATCAAAAAGGCTTCAGCTTTAGTTGTCCTCAAAAATAAACCCGAAGAAAAAACATTATCGATTCAAGCTCAACACGATGTTAACGATTATTTCTTCCGTGTTGGAATCATTTCAAATGGCAACAAATACAAGCCTATATTAGAATACAAAGTACCGGAACATATCGAAAAATTATCATCTACGAAGTTGGCGGTTAAGGGTGGAAACGGCGGTCAATTATACAAAATCGATGGTGCTGTAAGTGTTGACAACTATGAAGATGGTAAAAAGTACACGTTTGATAAAGTAGTCGTTATTGGTGGTAACAAAAAGATTGTTTCACTCGATGGATTTGCTATTTCCACAACTAACAAGGCTACATTTGACGTAAAACTTGGTTACGGTGATGAGAATTTAGCTTTAAAATTGGACAGTGCTAGATTAGGTGAGAGAAATTACGTGGTAGAATTATCAGCTGTACCATCGAAAGATCCAAATATTGGATTCAATGCAAAATGGGAATACAATAGACAACCAAAGAAACTTGATCATAAATTTGTTTTCATTCACGGTGCTGATCCAAATTCTCAAACCAATCGTTTTACTTTGGAACAACATTTAGATTACAATCTCATTGCAAATGATTTTCTATTATCCGGATCGACTAAACTGGCGTATCCCGCTGTAAATGGACTTTTAGAATTGGAAGGAAAAGTAACTAACAAAATATTAGAAGGTGAACTCGATATAAAATATGAAAAATTAAAATTGGGTACAGAATTGTCATTAAAAACCGATATGGTTAAATCAGGCGATTACGATTTTGAATTAGAAGTTGAACTTATGCAAAATAAAATCGAATTGAAATCAAAACGTACGATCATTGAGACCAATAAAAAAAGCAAGTACCAGAATTCTATCGAATTATCACCAGGTGGTAAATATGAAGCCAATGGTGAAATAACACACGAAATAAATAGAAATCTTGTTATTTTACAATTGAACGGTGATGTCAATCTAAATGGTAAAGTTGTTACAATTGATATGGCACTTGACGCTAAACCGGAGGATTTTAATTCTCATGCAATCATTGCAATTGCTGGAAACAAATATTTAGACTTCTATTTGAAAAATCACGTTGGTGTAAATCCCAATGGAAAATTGAATTTGAACGTAAAGAATTATTTGATCGTCGTTGGACAATATAATTATAATAATGGCAAAGGAAATGGACAAATTACGATCGATGTTCCTAAATACAATCGTAAGATCAAAGCTCTTGGTGATTTAACCGTATCCGGTACAAAACATGTAGGAAACGTTGAATTGTTGTACGATGCAGACAAAGATCCAAATAAACGGATTAAATTATCATCGGTTTCTGACATAACTGAGACATCGGTTGACACTAAAAATATCTTGGAAATTCTTACGTATAAATTAGAATTAAATGTAAAAGGTAATTTGAAAGGAACAATACATAATGGTGAATTAACGATCAATGCAGATACCACTTTACCAAATGGACGACATATTGTTTTGTCTGGAAAACGAGTATCCGCCAATAAAGATAACAAATATGATATCAATGTGGAATCTGAAGTTACAGATTACGTTAAAAAAGGTGACAAGTCACAAAAAATGAAGTATATTATAGATCTGAAAGATTTCAACGTGGATAAAATGACTTTCATGTGGAAATTACATTCGAATTACGTTGGTTTTGAAGGACGTGATTTGGTATCCGATATAGTCCTTAATCATCTCGAAGATGATTCGAAAAAAACCGTAGAACTTGATTTGAAACATTCGGGATCGTATCTGCATAAACCATTTGCTTTTGGAATAAAAAGCGATTGCAATAAAAATGGCGGCGGAGCGTTTGATGTCAAATCATCTCTTGGAAATGTATTCGATCTTACGGTAAGTTAATTAATTGTAATATATTATAATCTTATTTTTTACATTTAAAATTAAATACAAA